GGGGGGGGGGCACATAGCCCAGGAGGGCACAGGGGTGTGTGCCCCGAGATGTGCCCATGGCAGCCACCCATCCTGAGTGCAGCCTGGCCAGGAAGATCCCAGCACTGCCCTATCCCCAGTCCCAGCCTGCCCCGCACCACCCCGCATGCAGATCTGGGGGCACACGTCCCCTGTGCCCTCCCGGGCTGTACATCTGCCTCTCCCCATGCCCCCGATGAGCTGCTCGCAACTCTGTCCCCTGCCCTGCTGATGTGCAGGGCCTGCCCCAGCCCCACTCCCTACCTCAGAGCTGCTAGAGCTGCCGGCACTGCCCCGTGGCTGCCACTGCAGATTGGGCTTTGTGCCCTGAGCCCTGCTGCATGTACCCCCTGGGCCTCTGCCCCTTTCCTCCCCCACTGACAGACCTGATGGGCTTTTTTTTTTTGGGGGGGGGGGGGGGTCACATGCATGTGAATGCACATGCACACTCAGCCCCTGCAGCCCAGGATCAACTTCAAGAGGCTCCAGGATCCACCAGTCGATCCTGATCCCCTGGCTGGTGACCACTGGGTTAGTTCAACAAGTTACTGACCTTGCAAGAGTAACTAGATGAAATGTTATGGCCTGTGTCATGCAGAAGGGTGGACTAGATTATCTAATGGTCCCTTTACTGTGGCCAGTATAAAATTGCTGTCCTGGAACTAAGATGGTTTATGCTAGCTGAGGATCTAGCTTTATGTCTTATTATGTAATATCACAAAGGTGGCCAACCTTCTTCCCCCTTCTAGCTGCAAAACAAAGTCTTGACAGGGTTATAAACATCAAAACGTAATGGTCTGCACACAGCACACCATTACTTCCCATTGTTCAAGAGTTGCATGCCTGGGAGCCTTACATGGCTTGCAAGCTACAGTTCAGCCACCCCTGCAATATAAGAAGGCTGGCAGCACCTCCATCCCTCAAAAGAATCTGCTTCTTACAACTTATAGGGATTCCTCTCTGGACTCTTCTGTTTTATGGGGATAGTATTTTGCTACATCTACTGACAAGAAACAGGCCAAAAATTACCATATACAGAGAGAAAATCGCAAGCAGTTTTAGTTGTTTATGCTATTGGTATCACTTCCAGTTCAAAACTGGATTTTTTTGAAAGACGGTGAACTACATTTAACTCC